CTTCCATTTTATTTGTGAGTAAGACCTTGTCATTGCACGGTCCGTCAGTGCAATGGATGACACTTTGGAGATGTTTTTTTTTCCTCAAATGGTGACATCTGAAACCTGGATGAGAACAATATGATTTCAATAATCTGTCCTTTCCATCCATTTTCATTACTTGACGGTGGTCGTTTTTGTTTTTCTGTGTTCCGTTCTTCAGGCCTGATTCATCAATACGTTCAAGCACCCAGGGGGACAATGAGGCCTGGCTCGAGAGCAGGACGTGTGGAAAAGATCTTGGAGTCCTCGTGGACAGGAAGGTGAACATGAGCCAGGAATGTGATGTGGCGGCAAAAAAAGCCAATGGGATGTTGGCCTGCATCAAGAGGAGCCTAGTGTCTAGATCAGTGTTTCTCAACCTGGGGGTCGGGACCCTTGAGGGGGTCACGAAGGGGTGTTAGAGGGGTCACCAAAGACCATCAGAAAACACAGTATTTTTTGTTGGTCATGGGGGTTCTGTGTGGGAAGTTTGGCCCAATTCTATCATTGGTGGGGTTCAGAGCGCTCCTTGATTGTAGGTGAACTATAAATCCCAGTATCTGCAACTCCCAAATGTCAAGGTCTATTTCCCCCAAACCCCACCAGTGTTCACATTTGGGCATATTGAGTATCTGTGCCAAATTTGGTCCAGATCCCTCATTGTTTGAGCCCACAGTGCTCTCTGGATGTAGGCTAACTACAACTCCCAAACTCAAGGTCAATGCTCACCAAACCCTTCCAGTATTTTCTGTTGATCATGGGAGTTCTCTGTGCCAACTTTGGTTCAATTCCACTGTTGGTGAGGTTCAGAATGCTCTTTGTTTACATGTTAACTATAAATCCCAGCAACTACAACTCCCAAATGACAAAATCAATCCCCCTGCCGACCCCACCAGTATTCAAATTTGGGCATACCGGGTATTTGTGCCAAATTTGCTCCAGTGAAGGAAAATAAATCCTGCAGATCATTATTTACATGGTGATTCATAATGTTAGGGTTATGGTTGGGGATCACCACAACATGAGGAACTATATTAAGGGGTCGCGGCATTAGGAAGGTTGAGAACCACTAGTCTAGATCTAGGGAAGCCATGCTCCCCATGCTCTATTCTGCTCTGGTTAGACCACTTTACCTGGAATATTGTGTCCAATTCTGGGCACCACAATTCAAGAGAGATATTGACTCTAAGCTGGAATGTGTCCAGAGGAGGGCAACTCAAATGATCAAGGGTCTGGAGAACAAGCCCTATGAGGAGCGGCTTAAGGAGCTGGGCATGTTTAGCCTGAAGAAGAGAAGGCTGAGAGGAGATATGATAGCCATGTATAAATATGTGAGAGGAAGCCACAGGGAAGAGGGAGCAAGCTTCCTTTCTGCTTCCTTGGAGACTAGGACACGGAACAATGGCTTCAAACTACAAGAGAGGAGATTCCATCTGAACATGAGGAAGAACTTCCTGACTGTGAGAGCCGTTCAGCAGTGGAACTCTCTGCCCCGGAGTGTGGTGGAGGCTCCTTCTTTGGAAGCTTTTAAACAGAGGCTGGATGGCCATCTGTCAGGGGTGATTTGAATGCAATATTCCTGCTTCTTGGCAGAATGGGGTTGGCTTTTTTGCCGCCACATCACATTGTGGGCTCATGTTTAACTTGTTGTCCACAAGGACTCTTTTCCACACGTCCTGCTCTCGAGCCAGGCCTCATCGTCCCCCATTCTGTATCTTTGCATTTCGTTTTTCCTGCCTAAGTGGAGTATCTTGCATTTGTCACTGTTGAACTTCATTTTGTTAGTTTTGGCCAATCATCTCTCTAATCTCCATCACCTTTTCCATTCAGGGAAAGGCTTGCCACTTGGACCCCGAGACTTACCTCTTCTGTTTCTTCTGTGGTGACAGCTGGAGCAATTGTCCGAATTTCTGGGCGAGAAGAGCCTAGAGGAAGGAGAAGACAAGGTGGTCAAACCTGGCCCATTTTCTTCTCAAGTGACACCAACATCAGCTCTCTGCCACAAGGGAGCAGTGTAGATTCATTGCCCAGCACACCATGCTACACTGAAAGCGAGGAAAACAGGACCAAGTTTGAAGGCGGAAGCAGAAGTGTTATTCATCTGGCCAGATGGATGTCAGAACAACGTAACCAACAAAGGAACTGACATAACATACAATAAAGGGCACTGTTGCACTCCAGAACAGGAAATAGCCCCAAGAACAAGCCACGAGAGTCAAGATGAAGATCCACCCAGAGGGAAAGTGTTCCTGCCATACATCAAGGGAACCACTGACCGCAGAGGGAAGCTGATGAGGAAACACAACATACAAACAATCTACAAACCCACCAAGAAAATCCAACAAATGCTACGTTCAGCAAAGGACAAGAGGGATCCTCTCACCTCTGCAGGAGTCTACCATTGTATACCATGCAGCTGTGGACAAGTCTACAGAGGGACCACCAAACGCAGCAGCATTGCCCAGACACGCATCAAGGAACATGAAAGGCACGGCAGACTCCTTCAACCAGAGAAGTCAGCCATAGCAGAGCACCTGATGAACCAGCCTGGACACAGCATTTTATTTGAGAACCACACCAACAACCACCATGTCAGACTACACCGAGAAGCCATTGAAATACACAAGCATGTGGACAATTTCAACAGAAAGGAGGAAACAATGAAAATGAACAAAATCTGGCTACCAGTATTAAAAACTCTAAAATTACAACAGCAAAACAACAGAGAGGAAACAACCAGGCACATCTTAACACCTCTCAACAAAATATTTCCCCAGGCTCAGCCAGGCCTTCAAATGCTAATGAAGGTAATCAGTTGAAACATTCACACCTAGCTCCAGCAGAGAAGAGCTCTTTGCCCCACCCTGGTCATTCCACAGATATATAAACCCATTTTCCTAGTTCCAACAGACCTCACTACCTCTGAGGATGCTTGCCATAGATGCAGGCGAAACGTCAGGAGAAAATGCCTCTAGAACATGGCCACTATAGCCCGAAAAAAACCCACAAGAACCTAGTGATTCCAGCCATGAAAGCCTTCGACAATACAATAGCCCCTCTGACTATAAACACACCACATGCTGAGTGAAGGAACAATCCTTTTTATTAAAGCTTAGCAAAAAGCCAGTAAAAATAAATGCTTGTAAAGATTGATAAGATTCCAAAAAGCAATAAGGCATTTAAAGGCAGGAAGAAGACACAGCGTCCAAACGTAGCATTCAAAAGCAATGTTCAAAAAGCATAAAATAATATTCCAAGGCACTGATAATCCAGACAGGAATCAACCAAGAAGCAAGAACAGACCAGACGCTGCTAGTCAAGTTGAAAGGCTAGAAAAAACCATGAAGACGAGACCACTTGAACAGGGATTCCATGAGGCTTGTGCTAGGTTTCCAAACGATGCCTGATCTGACAAGATTTTCTACAGACAAACCTTAAATCCCAAAAACTGGTTTCGTTTTCCCCCAGTCTTTGACTTTAATTGACGAATTCTTTTGGATCTACGTAAACATTGGGCCTCTTGTCGATTCTGGCTAATCTCCAACCGCCGACCCTGCTTATCTGACTCCTCATTAACTTTAGCAGGTGTCAGACTGTTTTCCAAACTAGAATCTGAAGGGCTCACAGACGGAGGGAGTAAACCTTTCTCCCAAGGCCTGACAGAAACATTCTCATGAGAATCTGCCCTTTGCACCGAAGCCTCTCTGTCAGTGTCTGCATGAAACTCATTGACCAAAGTGTCTCCATCTTGCACCTCAGAGTCAGTCCCAGCATCCCCCACATCAGAAGCAACAAGGGACTGATTTCCTTCCTCATTATCCACATCAGACACAGAAACATCAGGAGACTGAAACACATTCACAGGTTCAAGCACAGGCTCAGGTTCAATCACAGGCCGAGTCCCAACAGGCAGGGCATTTTATCCCATTTGGAAGACCTGCTCCCTCCTCTGATTGGCTCAGGAATGATCAAGCTAGGATCTGAGCTGTCATTGGCTGGGGACTCCTTATGATATCAGAGGTGGGTGGGGTCTCCCTTGTGGTGGGAAAAATGGAGAACTGCTATGTGTCCATTGAAAGCTGGAAGATTGCACCGAGACTGTGGCACAGCTGGCTGGGAGTCAGCTGCATTAAGATCACTACTGACTGAAAGATCATGAGTTCAAAGCCAGCCCGGGTCAGTGGGCTTCCGACCAATTTGTGCAGCTTGTTGTCGACCTTTGCAACCCGAAAGACAGTTGCATCTGTCAAGTAGGAAATTTAGGTACCTCTTATGTGGGGAGGCTAATTTAACTAAATTTACAACACCATAATTTACAATCCCCTGGTGACCAGAATCCCCTCATGAAAAAGATGGAATGTTAAATAGCCTCTGTCAGGTTTTACAATGTATTGTAATGTAATATAGCCGAGTCATGCACTGCTAATGGGCTTCTATTGGAAATGCTGAGTCATGCATTAACTGTATATAGAACTTCATTTGGGGAATGTGTTCTGGCCTAGTCCAGGTGATTGTGAATGATGCAATCCTGGGTTTGAGTTAAGTCAATGAGTTGGGAACCAATCAGAGATTGCTATGTGTAAATGAATTGTATATAAGGAAGTCATGTACAGTGTATATTTCTCCTTGTGCTGTGATGTTGTTCATCGAAGGCTATATGTAATTAAAAGAACCTGTCTGCTAAGACAAGATATAACTGTGTGCTGTGGTAAGTCTGTAATATCATCTAGACTGGGGGAAAGACAATGGTAAAACTGACAATGGCTGGGCATGTGCTCAAGTGCCTGTAAAGAGTTCCAGAATGATTGCAGTTTGTGGGAGCAGTTGTAGGCTTGGGTAACCACGGAAAAATTTGGTTCTAAACTCGTTTCGTTTTTAGGGGGCCCTTGCATTTCGTTTTTTTTAATAATTCTGAAATTTTCCTTTTAAAAATTTCAAAATTTATGAAATTTCGTAAAATTACGAATCGATTCGTTAATGGCGGACGAGATTGCGCAATATGCTAAAAAAAACCTCCAAATGGGACAGGGGGAACTTCTGAAGCTTCCCTCTCCCTCTGTTGTTGACTGTTGGTGTGATAAAACAAACAACAACTATAAAACTTGCACCAGACATGCGAAAATAATTACGAAATAATTACAAAATAATTTCGAAATAATTACAAAATAATTACGAAATAAATTGAAAAAATTGTTTCGAATCTTAATTACTCCTCACACTATTCCTGCATGGCTCAATATTGGATCGTAAGCTAATTTAAATACGAATTAATAACGAATTACGAAATTAACGAACGAAACCGCCCAAGCCTAAGCAGTTGACTGAAAATACTGTGCAGGAAGACGCTACTGGAAAGCGCTGAAGTTGTGCAACTAATCTGCTGCTGAATTGTGAGATAAAGCGCGTCAGCCTCTGTATGTCTGTCTATATGTGGTTTGTCTACGGCATTGAATGTTTGCCATGTATATGTACATTGTAGTCCACCCTGAGTCCCCTGCGGGGTGAGAAGGGCGGAATATAAATACTGCAAATAAATAAATAAACCCTATCAGCAGAAAAAGGGCAAGACTTGGGAAATGGCCTAAAATAGTCCAGGATGGGGTTATGGGGTTTATAAGAGGTGTCGGTCCCAGAGTCAAAAGACAAAGCTTATATTAATACCTTGATTACACCTCTAAAGAGGAATGGCTTCCCTGAGAAGATATCAGGCTGGCTTTCTGGATGTTCAGCCCACCAGCAGTTTCCCAAGCACATTTCATATAGTTCTCATGTCTTTGGGTGCCCAGTTCTTGTGCATATATATATATGTGAGCCCTCTCCACTGATTGTCCATTAATAAAGCAAAGATATGTGTAAGGATTTTCCTCCAGTAGCAGATTGGAAAAAATAGTTATTTCAATACAGTTGTGCATAGTTGTCTTAACAGGGAAGAGTGGAAAAGAAGGGAGATCCATCTGAGGATGCAGATAATGGCATCCTTGGAGTCTAATTCTGCATTGCATCTTGAGGAGGGTTTCCTGCCAAATCAGTTTTTCAGTTTGTCTCTTAGTCTTGCCACATTATTAGATTAATCCTCCCAGGAATGTTTGGGGCTGGGCTGGGGCTTGAGACCCAACTAAGATCTGTACAAATCGAAATATAAAAAATGCTCTGTGTATAATGAGTGGCTTAAAAACAAAAAAACTACGGGGCCAAATGACCCCAAATTTGGCAATAAAACTCCTCACAATCCAAGGAGTGACCATCACAACAAAAAAACTACGGGGCCAAATGACCCCAAATTTGGCAATAAAACTCCTCACAATCCAAGGAGTGACCATCACAAAAAAACCCCCACAAAAACACCTTTAAATTCAAAAAAGGAAGACGAATACTTTATATATTACTATTATATATATATATATATATTACTATATAATACATATATATTATATATATTATTGTTATATATACTACTATATAATATAATGTTACTACTATATATTACTATATTAAATAGACTCATAGAATAGAGTTAGAAGGGACTCTACCATGGTATTGGGGGAGAACAGACAGGAAGGAAGGAGAGAAGAAAGGAGGGAGGAAAAAAGGGAAGGAATGAAGGAGGGAAAGGGAGGGAAGGAAGGAAAGAGAGAAGGAGGGAGGGAAAGAAGGAAGGAGGGAAGGAAGGAGAGAAGGAAGGAGAGCAAGAGGTACCGAAGGAAGAAGAGAAAGTAGAAAGGAAAGAAAAATGGAGGGAAATGCAGGAAAGAAGTAAAGAAAAAAAGAAGGAAGGAGAAAAGGAAATAAAAAAGTGAAAGAAGGAAGGAAACAGGGAGGGAAGAAAGGAGACAAAGGAAGAAGTAGAGAAAGGGGGAGGGAAGGAAGGAAGAGAGAGAAGGAAGGATGAGCAAAAGAAGGAATGAAAGAAAGAGGTAGAGAAGGAAGAAAGGAGAGAAAGGGGAAGGGGAAGAAAAAGGGGGGAAGGAATAGGTAGGTACCTCTCTTTCATAACAGTCCAGATATCTACCTCTACTTCGAAAATTCTTACTATAGGCCACAAGCAACGCGTGGCAGGACACAGCTAGTATGTTATAAATGTAATGTTATTAGTATTGGAGGAAGGGGGGGTTGATTATTCGATAACACAAGGGACATCTTTTCTTCCTCCATCTGGAAGGGAACCAGAGCTGTTCAGCTCCCAGGGTTTTACTCACGTTTCATGGCAAAAACCGCCACGCCCAGGACGACCATGAGACCCAGGCAACCAAGGATAATGCCAGCCACGGTCGACCTGGAAAATCCCCGTCCTGCAAGGATGAAAGCATATGATGCGGAGCAAGGCATATCACTCCCCACCCGGATTTGTCTTTGCAAGGTTATTGGGGGCCGTGGTGCCCCAAGAGCAAAGGCAGAAGGGGGAGCTCCAGGGTAGAGTGGCCTCAAATGTTACAGCTGTGGTCCTTGGAAGGAGTTGACCTGATACGCGCATCTCTATGTGTCCCCATCCGCCTATCACACTTTGCAGGGGAAGGTGCAAAGCACCCATACAAAACTGTCAAGTTTTACAATGTATTGCAATGTAATACAGCTGAGTCATGCGCTGCTAATAGGCTTCTATTGGGAATGCTGAGTCATGCATTGATAGTATATGGGGAATCATTTGGGGAATGTATTCTGGCCTAGTCCAGGTGATTGTGAATGATGCAATCCTGGGTTTGAGTTGAGTCAATGAGTTGGGAACCAATCAGAGATTGCTATGTGTAAATGAATTGTATATAAGGAAGTCGTGTACAGTGTATATTTCTCCTTGTGCTGTGATGTTGTTCGTCAAGGGCTATATGTAATTAAATGACCTGTCTGCTAAGACACGATATAACTGTATGCTGTGGTAAGTTTGTAATATCATCTAGACTGGGGGAAAGACAATGGTAAAACTGACAATGGCCGGGCATGTGCTCAAGTGTCTGTAAAAGTTTCCAGAGTGACTGCAGGCTGTGGGAGCAGTTGACTGAAAATACTGTGCGGGAAGAAGCTACTGGAAAGTGCTGAAGTTGTGCAACTGATTTGCTGCTGAATTGTGAAGTTAATCTCAACAAAAACACACCCCAAAAGGGCACCCCACTCACCAGAAACTATGTTCTTCCTCGGTGCAATTGTCACTATGAAAGAAAACCAACTCTGCGATGCTGGGCCAGAGGAAAGGGGAAAATGAGAAGTTGTGACTTACCAGGTTCAAAAGATGGTGGAACTGCCAAAAAAAGAAAAAGAAAAATTCTGCTGAAGCAAGGCACAAAAAATTATATAGGTACATTCATATTGCAAAAAAAATGTGATAGAGAGATTGCACAGACATATTACAAGGAGTCATGCTGCATAAACATATTATATCCAGATTGCTCAAACATGAAAGGAGATTCCATCTGAACATGAGGAAGAACTTCCTGACTGTGAAAGCTGTTCAGTAGTGGAACTCTCTGCCCCGGAGTGTGGTGGAGGCTCCTTCTTTGGAAGCTTTTAAACAGAGGCTGGATGGCCATCTGTCAGGGGTGATTTGAATGCAATATTCCTGCTTCTTGGCAGAATGGGGTTGGACTAGATGATAGCCCATGAGGTCTCTTCCAACTCTTTGATTCTATGGTTCTATGTTACAGAGAGTTGCTGTAAATTTTCTGGGCTGTCTGGCCATGTTCCAGAAGCATTCTCTCCTGACGTTTCGCCTGCATCTATGGCAGGCATCCTCAGAGTTTGTGAGATCTGTGGGAAACTAGAGAAGTGGTGTTTACATATCTGCGGAATAGTGGGGGGAGAAAACACTCTTGTCTGCTTCAGGCAGGTGTGGATATTGCAATCGGTCACCTTGGTAAACACTGAATGGCTTTGCTAACACCTCCTAACAAAGGATTCCACCAGGCAGGAAGCAGCCAGTCTTTGAAGCTGAAAACTCATAAATAAGGAGCAACACTCAGAAAACAGGGGAATTCCGGACAAGAGTCAATCAGGGACAGCTAACTCCTCCCAACAAAGGATTCCCCGAGGCTGCAACCAGCCAAGCCTTGAAACTGTAAGGCCATTAAATGCTAATCAAGGTGACCAATTGCAACTTTCACACATGTCTCAAGCAGACAAGAGTTCTTTCTCTCACCCTGGACTTTATTCCACAGAGATAGATAGATAGATAGATAGATAGATAGATAGATAGATAGATAGATAGATAGATAGATAGATAGATAGATAGATAGTAGGCCTGGGTTTGATCAAGAAAAAATTTGTTTCTAAAATCGATTTGTAATTGGGGTGTTTTTTTGTTTCGATATTTAAAATATTTACAAAACTTTCCCAAAAAAAGTTTTGTTATTTACGAAATTTTGTAAATATTAACGAATTTTTAGAATATTTTTTGTATTTTTTAAGAATAATATTAAAATAATATTAAAAAATATTTTAAAATGGAAAATTAACCAAAAAATGGCCCAAATGTTGACCAAACACAGGCAGGAGACAGCAAATGAGAGAAAACACCAACAGAAGAGTCTTTTCTTTTTTAGAATATTTTTAAAGAATAATATTAAAATAATATTAAAAAATAATATTAAAAATAATATTAAAAATAATATTAAAAATAATATTAAAAATATTTTAAAATGGACAATTAACCAAAAAATGGCCCAAATGTGGACCAAACACAGGCAAGCAGCCTCCTCCTCGCCCCTCTGCTGCTCCCTGGCTAAAAGGGTCCCTTCCTCGCCAGGCTGGGCTCCCAAGCCTGGCGCCCAGCCTGGGGAGGAAGGAGCACGGAGCAGCAGAGGGACGAGGGGAAAGCTGCGCTGAGGGCGAGGAGGAGGCTACTGGCGAAGGGGGCCTCAGCGGTGGCAGCTTCCCCCTCGCCCCTTTGCTCCTCCGTCCTCCTTCTTCCCCAAGCTGGGCGCCACGGAGCAGCAGAGGGGCGGGGAGGAGGCTCCTGCCAAAGAGGGCCTCAGCCGTGGCAGCTTCTCCCTCGCCCCTCTGATGCTCTGTCCTCCTTCCTCCCCAAGCTGGGTGCCAGGTTTGGGAGCCCAGCCTGAGGAAGAAGGAAACTTTTAGCCACGGAGCAGCAGAAGGGCGAGGGGGAAGCTGCCACGGCTGAGGCCCTCTTTGGCAGGAGCCTCCTCCCCGCCCCTCTGCTGCTCCGTGGCTAAAGGTTCCCTTCCTCCCCGGGCTGGGCTCCCAAGCCTGGCGCCCAGCTTGGGGAGGAAGGAGGACGGAGCATCAGAGGGGCGAGGGAGAAGCTGCTGCCGCTGAGGGCGAGGAGGAGGCTACTGGCGAAGGGGGCCTCAGCGGCGGCAGCTTCCCCCTCGCCCCTTTGCTCCTCCGTCCTCCTTCTTCCCCAAGCTGGGCGCCACGGAGCAGCAGAGGGGCGGGGAGGAGGCTCCTGCCAAAGAGGGCCTCAGCCTAAGGGCGAGCGCGCGCGGGCCGGCCAATCGGGAGCCGCGCTCGCGCCCAACAGGCAGGCGCCTTTCCTTTCCCTCCCGCGTCAGTTTAACCCAGTGTGGATTAATTCCCTTCCTTTCCCTCCTGCATCAGTTTTAACCAGTGTGGATGAATTCCCTTCCTTTCGTTTCCCTCCTGCATCAGTTTAAACCAGTGTGGATGGATTCCCTTCCTTTCCTTTCCCTCCCGTGTCAGTTTAAACCAGTGAGGATGGATTTCCTTCCTTTCCCTCCAATGTCAGTCTTAAGCGAGAGAAGCAGTTTAAACCAGTGTGGATGGATTCCCTTCCTTTCCTTTCCCTCCCGTGTCAGTTTAAACCAGTGAGGATGGATTTCCCTCCTTTCCCTCCCYCATCAGTTTTAACCAGTGTAGATGGATTCCCTTCCTTTCCCTCCAATGTCAGTCTTAAGCGAGAGAAGCAGTTTAAACCAGTGTGGATGGATTCCCTTCCTTTCCTTTCCCTCCCGCGTCAGTTTAAACCAGTGTGGATGAATTCCCTTCCTTTCCTTTCCCTCCCGCGTCAGTTTAACCCAGTGTGGATTAATTCCCTTCCTTTCCCTCCTGCATCAGTTTAAACCAGTGTYGATGGATTCCCTTCCTTTCCCTCCAATGTCAGTCTTAAGCGAGAGAAGCAGTTTAAACCAGTGTGGATGGATTCCCTTCCTTTCCTTTCCCTCCCACTTCAGACTTAAGTGAGAGAAGKAGTTTTAACTAGAGTGGATGGATTTCTTCCCTCCACCATGGAAGAAAGGAGGAAACCATGAAAATGAACAAAATCTGGCTCACAGTATTAAAAAAACAAGGACATCTTATCGCCTCTCAACAAAAGGTTTGCTCTAGGCACTGTCAGGCCATTATATGCTAATCGAGATGGTCAGTTGAAACATTCACACCTAACTCCAGCAGGCAAGAGTCCTTTGTCCCACCCTGGTCCTTCCACAGATATATAAACCCTTTTTCCTAGAGGCATTCTCTCCTGACGTTTCACCTGCATCTACAACAGCAAAACAGCAGAGAGGAAACAACCAGGCACATTTTAACACCTCTCAACAAAAGATTTTCCCAGGCTCAGCCAGGCCTTCAAATGCTAATGAAGATGGTCAGTTGAAACATTCACACCTAGCTCCAGCAGAGAAGAGCTCTTTGCCCCACCCCAGCCATTCCACAGATATATAAACCCATTGTCCTAGTTCCAACAGACCTCACTACCTCTGAGGATGCTTGCCATAGATGCAGGCGAAACGTCAGGAGAAATGCCTCTAGAACATGGCCCTATAGCCTGAAAAAAACCCACAAGAACCTAGTGATTCCAGCCGTGAAAGCCTTCGACAATACATTTCTAGAGGCATATGGCCCAAAAGGTTCCAGGAGCCTACCTTGGATCACAAGCTCCACGGTGCCGAACCGGGTTTCCCTCGGGCCCTCTATCACGACCGAATAGTTTGCAGTGTCATTGATGTTTAAGTCTATGATCTCAAGGGTGCAGTTGTCCTTCATCCTCTCTCGCCCGGTGAATGCTACACCATTCCAAGAGCCAGGGGTTGGATAGTAGTAAAAGGTAAAAACGGTGTTATTCGGGTACATTTCCCCTCGGTACCAGCGGCAGATCACTGGGATCGGAGGGTAGGTGATGGGGATGAGGTCGACCTTTCCTCCGTCTACCACATTTGGTGGCTCCACCGTGATGTTTGTCCGCTTCCACAAGGCTTCGGTCGAGAAGAAGCAAATGCTCAGGACGAAGGCTGTGGTGGAGAGAAGACGGGAAGGAACATCACTCCTAGCAAAGCATCCCTTGGAGGCAGTCAGTCCACCCCACACTTGGCTCATCTCTCAAAGCAGTCTCTGCATTTCCAAAGACTTTCTACATTTCCCTTTTTTGGCTTTGCAGAGAGCAGGGGGGATCCAAACATTGCCCAGGCCTCCATTACGTATCTCCCCCTGGTGAGGCGATATTGGAAAAATATATATTGATTTATGTTTAAATGTATGTACTTTATAAACTTCCGTACAGTGGCCCTTATTTCTCATCATGCCAGTAAGGGAATGCTCAAGATCCTGCAAGAAAGACTCCAGCAAGACACATGTTCAAGCTGGGTTTAGAATGTTACCATGTTGCACAAAACATTATAGAGCCGTTCCTATTGCTCAAAATCTTAATGGCATAACATTAGGGAGTCACGTTGTCCAAAAATGTTATGCCCAGATTACACAAATAATGTTATGGATAGATGGATTGCACAAACATGTTCCAGAGAGTCATGTTACATGGCACACAAAGGTTAGAGACACCGTCATCTTGTGCCAAAATGTTCTAGACAGATTGCACAAACATGTTGCAGGTGGTCATGTTTCACCACACTACATATTGCACATAAAATGTGACACAGAGCATGATAGGATAATAATATCGAGGATAGTTTTGACGGTGTGGTGAATGAATTAGAACCAGACATCCTGAGGAGTGAGGTTGAATGGGCCTTAAGAAGCATTGCTAACAACAAGGCAGCAGGAGACGACGGGATCCCAGCTGAACTGTTTAAAATCTTAAAAGATGATGCTGTCAAGGTGATGCATGCCATTTGCCAGCAAATATGGAAAACACAAGAATGGCCATCAGACGGGAAAAAATCAACTTATATCCCCATACCAAAAAAGGGAAATGCGAAAGACTGCTCAAACTTCCGTACAGTGGCCCTTATTTCTCATGCCAGTAAGGTAATGCTCAAGATCCTGCAAGGAAGACTCCAGCAAGACATGGAGCGAGAGTTGTCAGATGTTTAAGCTGGGTTTAGAAAAGGCAGAGGAACCAGAGACCATATCACCAATATTCGTATGCTGGATAATGGAGAAAGGCAGGGAGTTTCAGAAAAACATCTATTTTTGCTTCATTGACTATTCTAAAGCCTTTGACTGTGTGGATCATCATAAATTGTGGCAAGTTCTTGGTGGGATGGGCATCCCAAGCCACCTTGTCTCTCTCCTGAGGAATCTGTACAAGGACCAAGGAGCAACAGTCAGAACTGACCACGGAACAGGAGACTGGTTCAAGATTGGGAAAGGCGTCCGGCAAGGCTGCATCCTCTCCCCAACCTCTTTAACTTGTATGCAGAACACATCATGCGAGGATGTGCGGGGCTGGATGAATGCAAAGCTGGGGTGAAAATGGCTGGAAGAAACATTAACAACCTCAGATATGCAGATGACACCACTCTGATGGCCGAAAGCGAGGAGGAGCTGAGGAGCCTTCTAATCAAGGTGAAAGAAGAAAGCGCAAAAGCCGGGTTGCAGCTAAACCTCAAAAAAACCAAGATTATGGCAACAAGAATGATTGACAACTGGAAAATAGAGGGAGAAAACGTGGAGGCCGTGACAGACTTTGTATTTCTAGGTGCAAAGATTACTGCAGATGCAGACTGTGGCCAGGAAATCAGAAGACGCTTCCTTCTTGGGAGGAGAGCAAGGTCCAATCTCGATAAAATAGTAACTTCCTTCCTTACTTCCTTCCTTTTCTCCTTTTTTCCTTCCTTCCTTCCTTCCTTCTTTCCTTTCTTCCTTCCTCCTTCCTTTTGTCCTTTTTTCCTTCGTTCCCTCCTTCCTTTTCTCCTTCCTTCCTTTTCTCCTTTTTTTCCTTCCTTCCTTCCTTCCTTCGTTCCTTGCTTTTCTCCTTCCTCCCTCCCTCCTCTGCTTCCTTACTTCCTTTTCTCCTTTTTTCCTTCCTTCCTTCCTTCTTTCCTTTCTTCCTTCCTCCTTCCTTTTGTCCTTTTTTCCTTCCTTCCTTCCTTCCTTCCTTTTCTCCTTCCTTCCTTCGTTCCTTGCTTGCTTTTCTCCTTCCTTCCTTCCTTCCTTCCTTCGTTCCTTGCTTTTCTCCTTCCTCCCTCCCTCCTCTGCTTCCTTACTTCCTTTTCTCCTTTTTTCCTTCCTTCCTTCCTTCTTTCCTTTCTTCCTTCCTCCTTCCTTTTGTCCTTTTTTCCTTTGTTCCCTCCTTCCTTCCTTCCTTTTCTCCTTCCTTCCTTCGTTCCTTGCATTTCTCCTTCCTTCCTCCCTTCCTCCTCTGCTTCCTTACTTCCTTCCTTTTTCCTTCTTTCCTTTCTTCCTTTCTCCTTCCTTTTATCCTTTTTCCTCCTTTCCTTTCATTCCTTTCTTCCTTCCTCCTTCCTTTTTTCCTTCCTTCCATCCTTCCTTCATTCCTTGCATTTCTCCTTCTTTCCTCCCTTCCTCCTCTGCTTCCTTCCTTTTCTCTTCTTTCCTCTTCCTTCTTTCTCTTCCTCCCTCCTCCTCTGCTTCCTTCCTTCCTTTTTCCCTTTTTCTCTTCCTTCCTTCCTTCCTTCCTTTTCCCTTTTTTTTCCTTCCTTCCTTCCTTCCTTCCTTCCTTTTCACCTTTTTTCTTCCTTCCTCCTCCTCTCCTTCCTTCCTTCCTTCCTTTTCACCTTTTTTCCTTCCTTCCTTCCTTCCTTCCTTCCTTCCTTCCTTCCTTCCTTTTCACCTTTTTTTCCTTCCTTCCTTCCTTCCTTCCTTCCTTCCTTCCTTCCTTCCTTCCTTCCTTCCTTCCTTCCTTCCTTCCTTTTCTCCTTTTTTTCCTTCCTTCCTTCCTTTTCTCCTCCTTCCCTCCTCCCCTCCTCCCCTCCCTCCCTTCCTTCACCTGTCAGGAGGTTGGAGGGCGACCCGCTCTTGCCCCCGAGGAGGACCCCCATCCCGCCTCAGCTCGGCTCCCCTCCCTCAGGGATTTTCTCTTTTTTTAGGGGGGGGGGGTCCCGTTGCGGCCGTCGCCGGGCGTCCATTGTGAGCTCAGCGTATTCCAAGTGGATAAGGCTATCATCATCATCATCCTCATCCTCATCTTCCTCATCCCCCCCCCCCATCCCGCGCCACTTGCCCCCCCCCCCCCCCCCGGGGTGTGGGAAAGCTTGATTCCATAGGCAGTCCTTGAATCGCTTTCCTGGTTTTCTTGCCGTTGAGTGTGGTGGAGGCTCCTTCTTTGGAAGCTTTTAAACAGAGGCTGGATGGCCATCTGTCGGGGGTGCTTTGAATGTGAATGCACCGGGACTGTGGTGCAGCTGGCTGAGAGGAAGCCACAGGGAGGAGGGAGCAAGCTTGTTTTCTGCTTCCTGGAGACTAGGACGCGGAACAATGGCTTCAAACTACAAGAAAGGAGATTCCATCTGAACATTAGGAAGAACTTCCTGACTGTGAGAGCCGTTCAACAGTGGAACTCTCTGCCCGGAGTGTGGTGGAGGCTCCTTCTTTGGAGGCTTTTAAACAGAGGCTGGATGGCCATCTGTCAGGGGTGCTTTGAGTGCAATATTCCTGCTTCTTGGCAGAATGGGGTTGGACTGGATGGCCAACTCTAGGATTCTATGATTCTCTGGCAGAAGAAGGTAGGACTGGATGGCCTTGGGGGGGGGGGGGTTCCAGACCAATTATTATTATTAACATTAACAACCTTAGATATGGCTTCAAACTACAAGAGAGGAAGAACTTCTTGACTGTGAGAGCCGTTCAGCAGTGGAACTCTCTGCCCCGGAGGGAGTGTGGTGGAGGCTCCTCCTTTGGAGGCTTTGAAACAGAGGCTGGATGGCCATCTGTCAGGGGTGATTTAAATGCAATATTCCTGCTTCTTGGCAGAATGGGGTTGGACTGGATGGCCAACTCTAGGATTCTATGATTCTCTGGCAGAAGAAGGTAGGACTGGATGGCCTTGGGGGGGGGGGGGTTCCAGACCAATTATTATTATTAACATTAACAACCTTAGATATGGCTTCAAACTACAAGAGAGGAAGAACTTCTTGACTGTGAGAGCCGTTCAGCAGTGGAACTCTCTGCCCCGGAGGGAGTGTGGTGGAGGCTCCTTCTTTGGAGGCTTTGAAACAGAGGCTGGATGGCCATCTGTCAGGGGTGATTTAAATGCAATATTCCTGCTTCTTGGCAGAATGGAGTTGGACTGGATGATGGCCCAGGAGGTCTCTTCCAACTCTTGGATTCTAGGATCCTATGAGTCTTCCAGCTGTAGGATTCTGTTATTCTATGGTATTCTGAGTCAATGGAGATTTTCAAGCAACAGCCGGATGGCCATCTGTTGGGAAGGATTGGGTGGTGTTTTCATGCCTGGCAGAAGAGGGTGGAATGGATGCCTGAGGCTGCCTTCTGTTTCCAGTTTGTGTGCCAGGTTTCCAGTCAGGCTTGGTTCTGGTTCCCAGTGCCAGCCACTTTGGGGGCCCTTCCACACAGCCACAGAACCCAGAAGGTCAAGGCAGAAAATCCCACAAGTACCTGCTTTGAACTGGGATGCCTGAGTCCACACTGCCCTCTATCCCAGCTCAAAGCAGAGAATAGAATCATAGAATCAAAGAGTTGGAAGAGACCTCCTGGGCCATCCAGTCCAACCCCATTCTGCCAAGAAGCAGGAATATTGCATTCAAAGCACCCCTGACAGATGGCCATCCAGCCTCAGTTTAAAACAGTGTTTCTCAACCTTCCTAATGCCGTGACCCCTGAATCCTGTCCCTCATGTGGTGGTGACCCCCAACCATAACATTATTTCATTGCTACTTCATAACAGTCATTTTACTACTGTTATAAATCATAATGTAAATATCTGATATGCAGGATGTATTTTCATTCACTGGACCAAACTGGGCACAAATACCCAATGCAACCACATGTAAATGCTAGTGGGGTTGGGGGAGGATTGATTTTGTAATTTGGGAGTTGTAGTTGCTGGGATTTATAGTTCACCTATAATCAAAGAGCATTCTGAACTGCACCAGCAATGGAATTGAACCTAATTTGCCATACAGAACTCCCATGACCAATGGAAAACACTGGAAGGGTTTGGTGGGTATTGACCTTGAGTTTGGGAGTTGTAGTTCACCTGTATCCAGAGAGCACTGTGGACTCACGCAATGGTGGATCTGGACCAAACTTGGCACAAATACTCAATATGCGCAAATGTGAACACTGGTGGAGCCTGGGGAAAATAGACCTTGACTTTTGGGAGTTGTAGTTGCTGGGATTTATAGTTCATTACAATCAAAGAACATTCTGAGCCATAGAATTGGCTCAAACTTCCCACATGGAATCCCCATGACCATCCAAAAAATACTGTGTTTTCTGATGGCCGTTGGCGACCCCTCTGACACCCCTTTGCAATCCCCTCAGGGGTCCTGACCCCCAGGTTGAGAAACACTGGTTTAAAAGCTTCCAAAGAAGGAACCTCCACCACACTCCGGGGCAGAGAGTTCCACTGCTGAACGGCTGTTCAGCAGTGGGATTGTATTCAGCTGTGTGGAAGGGGCCTTCTAGAGCAGAGAGAAAGTGGACTCTGTATCCTAATGAGATTAATGCGAAATCTGAATCCGCCAGAGACCCAGCCCAATGGCCCTGCTCCTCCTAGAATCCTAGAATCCTAGAGTTGGAAGAGACCTCATGGGCCATCCAGTCCAACCCCATTCTGCCAAGAAGCAGGAAAATCGCCTTCAAAGCACCCCCAACAGATGGCCATCCAGCCTCTGTTTCAAAGTCTCCAAAGAAGGAACCTCCACCAGATTCCAGGGCAGACAGTTCCACTGCTGAACAGTAATACCTACAGACTTACAGAGCTTGTCTTATGGCTTGACCGCAATGTAAACACATGAGCCAACAATGTGATGTGGCTGCAAAAAATGCCAATGGGATGTTGGCCTGCATCAAGAGGAGCATAGTGTCTAGGTCGAGGGAAGTCATGCTCCCCATGCTCTATTCCGCTTTGGTTAGACCACTTTACCTGGAATATTGTGTCCAATTCTGGGCACCACAATTCAAGAGAGATGTTGACAAGCTGGAATGTGTCCAGAGGAGGGCGACTAAAATGATCAAGGGTCTGGAGAACAAGCCCTATGAGGAGCAGCTTAAGGAGCTGGGCATGTTTAGCCTGAAGAAGAGAAGACTGAGAGGAGATATGATAGCCATGTATAAATATGTGAGAGGAAGCCACAGGGAGGAGGGAGGATCAAGGGTCTGGAGAACAAGCCCTATGAGGAGCGGCTTAAGGAGCTGGGCATGTTTAGCCTGAAGAAGAGAAGGCTGAGAGGAGATATGATGAGGGCCATGTATAAATATGTGAGAGGAAGCCACAGGGAGGAGGAGGGAGCAAGCTTCCTTTCTGCTTCCCTGGAGACTAGGACGCAATGGAGCCATGGCTTCAAACTACAAGAGAGGAGATTCCATCTGAACACGAGGAAGAACTTCCTGACTGTGAGAGCCGTTCAGCAGTGGAACTCTCTGCCCCGGAGTGTGGTGGAGGCTCCTTCTTTGGAAGCTTTTAAGCAGAGGCTGGATGGCCATCTGTCAGGGGTGCTTTGAATGCAATATTCCTGCTTCTTGGCAGAATGGGGTTGGACTGGATGAGGGCCCAGGAGGTCTCTTCCAACTCTTTGATTCTATGAACTCTGGGCCTTCTATATGCAACTGGAGGAGCATTTACACTGTAGAAATAACACAGTTTGACACTACTTGAAGGGACATCCCAATACTATGAGAGTTGTAGTACCATGAGGTCCTCACACTCTTTGGCAGGGAAGGTAAAAGACCGTGCAAAACTACAACTCACATAATTCAAAAGGGACATTCTTTCAAATATACATAAAAATGTGGAGGCCAAGCCCCTTCCACCATAAAGGAAGACACCATCCAAGCCCTCCCAATAAATGGCCATCCAGCCATAGATATAGAATCATAGAGCTGGAAGAGACCTCGTGGGCCATCCAGTCCAACCCCATTCTGCCAAGAAGCAGGAAAATTGCATTCAAAGCAACCCCAACAGATGGCCATCCAGCCTCTGTTTAAAAGCTTCCAAAGAAGGAGCCTCCACCACACTCCGGGGCAGAGAGTTCCACTACTGAACAGCTCTCATGGTAAGGAAGTTCTTCCTGATGTTCAGATGGAATCTCCTTTCTTGTAATTTGAAGCCATGGCTCCATTGCGTCCTAGTCTCCAAGGAAGCAGAAAACAAGTTCGCTCCCTCCTCCCTATGACTTCCTCTCACATATTTATACATGTCTCCTCTCAGCCTTCTGTTCTGCAAGCTAAACATGCCCAGCTCTTTAAGCCGCTCCTCATAGGGCTTGTTCTTTAAGCCTCCTTCCTCCTTCCTATGACTTCCCTTCACCTCTTGATCAATGGCCCTCAACATGTCTCCTTTCAGCCTTCTGTTCTGCAAGCTAAACATGCCCAGCTCTTTACGCCGCTCCTCATAGAGCTTGTTCTTTAAGCCTCCTTCCTCCTTCCTATGACTTCCCTTCACCTCTTGATCCATGGCCCTCATCATGTCTCCTTTCAGCCTTCTCTTCTTCACGCTAAACATGCCCAGCATTCGTGCCTCTTCAAATTTCGCCCTCCATTCGTGCCTCTTCAAATTCTGCAGCACTGCTGGTCACAGCTGACCTCCAGCTGGAGTGCTCAAGGGCCAGGGCTTCCCAGTTCTCAGTGTCTATGCCAGAGTTTTTAAGGTTGGCTTTGAGCCCATCTTTCAATCTCTTTTCCTGTCCTCCAACATTCCGTTTTCCATTCTTGAGTTCAGAGTAGAGCAACTGCTTTGGGAGACGGTGGTCGGGCATCCGGACAACGTGGCCAGTCCAGCGGAGTTGATGGTGAAGGAGCATTGCTTCAATGCTGGTGGTCTTTGCTTCTTCCAGCACACTGATGTTTGTCTGCTTGT